GCTGCGACCCCCGGCAGCCTGGCCCGCACGCTGCAGCTGCGCTCAGGGCGGCAGGGAAGAGCAGCCCTTCCACTTCTTAAACTTCCAGCAACTTAAGAACTGCACCGCTACTAAAAAGTAGCCACGAGCCCCTTTTTTCTGGGGGCTAAAATTATCTAGCCCTTTGCATTGATAGAGCATGCATATATTGAAAACCATGACCGTGTCCTCACACACTTTAAGGTAAAACAAAGTCATAGGCCTCACCAGCACAATGCGGAATTAAATCTGCCATGCAAAACATAGTGTTCACCAGGAAAGAATCCAATAATGCAATCAGAAGTGCCCAGGTAGAGCACAGCACTATGTGGTACAATATTTGGCCTGAATTTAAGAAGTATTAAATGGTATAAACATAGTCACCTTGTGGTTTTTCATCTAGTGCTATATTAATGAAATAACAGAAAGGACAGAGTGGCTAAAGCAAAAGGTGGGTGTAAAAAAAAAAAAAATTGCTAGGGATGCCAGCAGTCATGATGTGCAAGAGTCCATATGCCAGCCCTAGGAAGAGAAACAAAGATTTCCCTAGCACCCATTCCCTGTCACTTCAGACTGGTAGCAGAGTTTGTACTGGAAATTTAAATTAGCAAGTTTCTAAGGAGCACTGTGGAGTTGTGGTGCTCCAGATCTGACCCTTTTTCTAGCAGAAAAGCACATACACATAAGCTTTTTTCTGCACCTACACAGATGCAAGTGTTATTCTGGACATAGCTGTTTTTCCAAATCAGGGCCTTAACACCTGAGTGGGAGCTAAGGTCTTTGGAAAGTCTGCCTCTCAGAAATATGTACATCAGGTACAGGAACAAAAGAACGCCCATCCAGCTAGAGAAGAAGGGAGCAAAAAGAACATTTTTCTGGAGGCAGATGAGGAGGGACTGAGCTATTCATCAAAGGGTAAAAATATCAAATGCAGATTTGAATTTGCTTGTATCATTTCTTTTTTATAAGGTACTGTGATCAGAATTTCCTTCATACTCAGTTTCTGGTTTCCTCTAAGCACACTTCAGCCATTCTAATCCAAAACACTCTCTCCCATTGGGTAAGTTAACAGCCTTAATGTTTTTTAGTTTCCTATTTCCTTTTAAGTACACTATGAGACTGGCAAGGTAAGTTGATGTAACATCCTTCTATTCTAACCCCCTCTTTACTGTAAGCCACTAATGTAATTTCCACGTAAATCACAGAGAGCTCGGTTCTTGTTAGTCCTAATTGCAGTTTCACAGTAAAACCCAATGGCATGCTTCAAACTAATCTGGACAGTGAATTATGAGAAACCGATACTTTCTGGAGACTTCGGAGATGAAGAGTTCAGACATAAATCCATAGTGAACAACAGCCACAACACTAAGGCTTTTAAAAATGTAGTTACAGAAACAGAATACACACATTTTCATTCTATAAAACACAAGACCAAAAAAAAAAAAAAAAGCACCACAGGCAGCAGCGTTGGCTTGTAAAATGGAGCCACTCTGGCTGAAGTACAGGGATTTTTTTGCTACCACAGCTGAAGGATGCCATTTACCCAAGTCAGAAAATCCACACTTCTGTTAAGTCACTGGAAGGAACACTTGGGGATATGGCATACTGGTAACTTTTCGCTGTGTTCATAAAGAAACTTCTGTACTTGCTTAAAGTCTTAAGGGAGCTGAAGGTCAGCATACTTGTGTCCTGAGTGGAAGAGGAATGTAAACTGAACCGAAACTTCCTAAATGCCTTTGTCCCCTCCTAACATTTCCTATTCAGCACCATACAACCCCAGTCTCACTTACATGGGGCACACTAACATTTAGCTAAACTTTTCCTTTCCCACAGAGGCATGTTTCTATATATCCTCATCTCTCACCATTCCTACTCCTCTCACTGAACCACCAGCTTTCAGGATGACTGTGGTTAAAAGAACAGTGTGTTGCATGGGGAGGACTACTACTTCTGGCACCACAGAAAACAGGCAAGATATGCTGTAGCATTTAACTGTAAGATGCTCCCTACTCAAGACAACCTTCACTGTTTTCCTGTAAGCAATTTACAAAAGCCCTCAGAAGAAAGAAAGAAAAAAAAAAAGCAGTCACACTTATTACTAAGAAGCAAAAATCCCCCCCAACCCAACAGCAAATAAACCCTCTATATAAGACCCCCATCATGCTATTTTATGTTGTCTGGCCCTGGTGTTGTATCAAACCACATTACAGTCACACACGCAAGCAGAAATAGCAAGTTCCACCAGGATAATTTTGTTTTCCCACGTTGCTATCAAAGATAACATCGCCTTCTACCGTCTCCTCCATTTTCTACCTCCAAGACATTTCACACTGCATGGGCAGCACAACTGCATGGGGAATAGCTATGCAATTGTCATAAATGTGTCTAGAGCCGTGAGGGCTCAAATGCATGTATGCTGCTAGAGACAGATGAAAGCCTATGAGAGCTACAAGTTGAGTATCACTAGCAAAGGTTTATGTGACATACCATGCCTACCTAGCTTTGGTCACACAGATGTTTCCAAGCCAACAGAGATGTTTCCTATAGTTTTCAACTATACTGTTATCATCTGTGTGCAAGAAATGCTTGGCGGTTTTTTAAAATACCTGTCTTTTCAGGGTGGGACCAAGAGAACACTTTGTCTGGCTGAGATACAGACCTGTCTTATCTACTCTATAATTCCAGGTGATAGACACAAGCCCATGCAAAAATACTGCAAAGAACAGGCTAATAAATCATGCAATGAATAAAGCAAGGGAAAAAAAATCCATATTTTTCACTCCTACTTGTTTACAAATAAGAAATGTAACCTCAGATGTTGAAACAACT